CGAGGCCGCAGAAGGAGGGCCGGGCGACTTTCCTAAAGTCCTATTTCCGTCTTCCCACCTCCAGGAAACACGCGGCTAGCGGAAAAAGAGCCCCCCCCGCCTCCGTTTTGGAAAGCGAGGCCGCGTTCCCGTTTGTACCCGGACGAACGCTAGTCTTGTGCACTTCGGAGTGCAGGTGTGGGTCTTTTGCACGGCCTGCCTTGTGCTTCATGTTCTCTATATTGCACCATCCAAAAGAGGCTTTCTAAAAGCTCCAGCACAGTAATGTTTATATAATATAATTAAAGATGATTGACATTCTCCTATTTAGATAACAAGAGTATTGAAAACAGAGAAGAGGAAGAACATTCCATCAGTATCAGTTACAATTTAGGATCTCAATATTGCATGCATTAACATGACTGGGCTTTTTCATCTGACGTTGTTACATAATAAAGGTTTCGGTCTTAAGCTAATTACTCTAAAAAAGAGGCTGCTTGTGTGACCTGCTGTCCGCCACCCGCCAGAGCCTAGCGAAGTGCGCCCATCCCACCGTTTCCCCTTCTCTTCCGCTGCTGATCCCATGCAACTCTTTACCCATCTCAGCGCAAGGATGTGCCTGTCGTCGGAATGTGAAAGGGTTGCCCTTTGGGGTTCCCCGAAAGCAGGACCTGTATCGGTGTTTGCCATAAGTTACAAAGCCTGCTTTCTGGAAATCCCACACGGCACCGTTTCTTCAGACAAAATACCAAGAGACAAAGCTTGATTAAAGAGAGGCACATGATGGGGCGGACTCACGGCGTGTGCCTATCCAAACGTGTGTCCGATGAACATCACGATCTGATGTGCCACCTTTCTGGTGGTAAATGTCTGCATGGCTGTCAGTGTGAGAATCTGTATTAAGATTGTGATCTTATACAGACATACCTGGAAGTCAAACCCAATAAACCCAAAGAGATTTATTTCAGAATGAGCACAGAGCCGCCCAGAGTCCCCCGTTGTTGGGAGATGGGCGGGGACAAGTCTATTAAATAAATAAATAAATAAAATACATACATACATACATACATACATACATACATAC